CCTGCATTGGTGTACCTTGTTGCATTGGCATACCTTGCTGCATTGGCGGACCTTGCTGCATTACAAAAGTTTGCTGCATTGATGGAGCTTGCTGCATTAATGGATCTTGCTGCCCTGGTGTAGCTTGCTGCGCTGGTGGAGCCTGGTGCATTGGTGGCCCTTCCTGCATTGGTGGACCATGGAGCATTAATGGACTGTGCTGCATTGGTGGACCATGGTGCATTGATGGACCTTCCTGCATTGGCGGACCTTGCTGCATTGGTGGAGCTTGATGCACTGGTGGAGCTTGCTGCATTAAAGGAGCTTTCTGCATGGATGGACCTTGCTGCCCTGGTGTAGCTTGCTGCTCTGGTGGAGTGTGGTGTATTGGTAGACCTTCCTGCATTGGTGGACCTTCCTGCATTGGTGGACCATGGTGCATTGATGGACCTTCCTGCATTAATGGACCTTCCTGCACTTGTGGACCATGGTGCATTGATGGACCTTGCTGCAATGGAGGAGCTTGCTGCACTGGGAGAGCATGCTCCATTGGTGGACCTTGCTGAATTTGTTCAACAGCTGCACTTGGTTCTTGAACTCCAAGGGGAAGTTCCTTCACAGGAGCCTGGCCTGAAGGCTTCAGTTGGGTTTCCAGTTTCTCAAAGTCCTGGTTTAGCTTAGGTAATTCAGAGGGAGTATCCATTGATGAAGCAGGTGGGAAAACACCATTGTTCTCAACACCTCTATCTGGAGCAAACATGGCATCTCCCATGTCTTGAGGCTCTCCAAGATTTTGCAAAGATGCTTGGGCAAGAATGTCATCTGCAGTTGATACACAGTTTATGTCAGTAACATAGGAATTCATTAACAACAATCTGTATATTTATCATTATTAATTCTCCCCTCTGGCAGCTACACTTTTCCTTGTAAATTTGTAACAAGAATTTGGTGTTAAATCAAGATAGCAGCTATCTGATAAATATGAGTATTCTCATTACCTGTTCTACTGAAAATTTATGGATGTTATAGTGAGAAATTACTTGTTAATCACTTCTGGCAGTTAAAGGATCAAACTATGTATTCCAAACTTTTATTGTAAAAAATAAAGAGTTCATGATCACCTTCTCGGTTGAACCAGCTGTTTGATTCAGGTTCTTGGCTCCAACCCTGTGGGTAAGACTCACTGTTGTATTGCTGAGCTTGAGACTCTTGCATGTCTGTTGTTTGATGCATCATAGGAGGAGCATTGGAGGAACTATCTTGGTGATAGAAGGCCATCTAAAAACGTCCCATAAAAAAAGACACCAATAAATACTTTTTATAGGGACACACTGGACATTGAAAAAGTACAATCCTTAATGAATTTATCAATTTTCTGCACTGTCTGCCAAACATTTCTTACAAATTTAGATCTGACAATTTGGTGTTAAATCACACAAAACACCACTGCTGATTTTTTTCTTTCTTCCCATCCCCTATCTGCATAAAAAAGTTGTTTGCTAGTAATTTACCTGCATGCCCCCATCAGGCTGAGAACTGTCAGTTGGATCATTTGAGAACTGGTTGAACCAGTCAATTGCAGAATTTTGCTGCGATGCAGTCTGTGGCACTGCAGACTGAGGGTATTCCGAGTATGCATATGGGCTGTTTTGTTCCTCAACCCATGCATAATCCATTTTTGGTGCAGGTGATTCTGTGATGGCCAAATTATTGCCCTCCGTGATTTCTTCTTGATTGCTTTCAGGATCAACAAATTGGGCATGTTCAGAAACACTTTCCTGTGCAAAAAAAAAAAAAAAAA